GACTTTTCGCTAAAGAAGACTTATCATTCCAAGATGCCTTGAGAGAGGTTACTGCAGAAGAGGCAGCAGGTGGCGCAATCAAGAACATGAGGCCGATCAGAAGTACTCCAGAAGCTGTGTCCGTGCACCAGGAAGGAGTCCAAGGGAGCTCAGAAGAGGATCATGATGAAGAAGTAGACCGTCTCTACCCAACAAAAGAAGGGAAGCAGAAGGAAGGCAAGGAAACTTCTTCAGCTGTCCCCAAGTGCTTCGGATGTGGAGGTCGTCACAAGAGGACCGACTGCAGATTTCGCTCTGCTATCTGTAGAGCATGCGGAAAGCAAGGCCACATTGCAGCTGTGTGTCTGGGCCGTCAGAAGGTACAACCCCGAGAAGAATTGCGCCTGAAAGGTACCAGGGTCCCCAGCCAAAACAGGGTGGGTTTCTGTGTTTCGCGAAGAAGCATCTATAGGACAGGCACACAAAGCCCATTAAGAAAAAACTGTCACTTAAAGTGAAGTTACAAGGGGTTCCATTGGTCATGGAACTGGACACTGGGTCTGCACTTTCAATCATTTCCATACATACATTCAGAAAGATTTGTTCTGGCAGTGGATTTCAGGCCAAACTAAGGCCTTCTGACATTGTGTTAACAGACTTTCAAAACTCCAGAGTGTGTGTTAAGGGGGAGGCCACCCTTAATGTACAGTATAAGGATTTTGAAGGTCCATTAGATGTATTGGTAGTAGGGGGTGAGCGAACGAGTCTCATAGGACTTGATTGGTTTGAGGCCTTGGGAATACATGTCACAGGGCTCAATAGATTGCAAACAGTAGACCTACAGGAAGTCTGCAAAGAATTTGCAGATGTCTTCAGCCCACAGCTGGGCACATACAAAGGACCCCCTGTGTCTTTAAAACTAGACCCCACTGTCACTCCTATTAGAATAAAAGCAAGAAGGGTCCCTTTTGCTCTAAAAGGGAAAATTGACACTGAATTGGACAAATTGATTCAGCAAGGAATCTTAGAACCTGTTGACTCCAGTCCTTGGGAGACCCCCATTGTCACGCCTCTTAAGGCTAATGGGGACATTCGCATCTGTGCAGATTACAAATGCACTCTGAATAAGGCATTGCAGCAACAAGCCTATCCTGTACCTGTGGTCAGTCATATTCTGGTCTCCCTCAAGGGGGGGGGCGTGTTTTTGCAAAGCTTGACTTAGCTCAGGGATATCAACAGTTGCCTGTTGACGATGCTGCTGCTGTGGCTCAAACCATTGTAACCCACAGGGGGGCATTCAAGGTAAAGAGGCTACAATTTGGAGTAAATGTGGCTCCTGGAATTTTCCAAAGCATAATGGAAAACACACTATGGGATATACCAGGGGTTTGCCCCTATTTTCATGATGTCTTAATTGCTAGAGACTCTACACACAACTTAGCTGAGAGATTAAGGGCTGTTCTGCTGAGGTTCAGGAAAACGGGCCTCAAACTCAAGAAGGACAAATGTAAAATTGGGGTGCCTTCTACAGATTTTCTGGGATTCAAAATCGATGCTACTGGGATTCACCCTGCTGAGTCCAAATTAAAAGCTATAATGCATGCTCCTAGGCCAAAGTCCAAGGCCGAACTACAGGCCTTTCTGGGCCTTTTGAACTTCTACAACTCTTTCCTTCCAAACAAGGCTAATGTAGCCGAACCACTTCATAGGCTCCTGGACAAACAGGCAGTGTGGCAGTGGTCACAAAAACATGAAGCAAGTTTCAATGAGGTTAAGGCCTTACTCACTTCTAACAGTGTGCTTGCACATTTCAATGAGTCCCTTCCTGTGTGCATCGCTTGTGATGCTTCTCCTTATGGGGTGGGAGCAGTACTAAGCCACCTCAGACCGGATGGAACTCAGGTTCCTGTTGCATATTACTCCCAGAACCTTGTCTTCTGCAGAGCGAAATTATGCTCAAATAGACAGGGAGGCCTTAGCTGTTGTTGCTGGAATCAAAAAGTTCCATGATTTCTTGTATGGCAGACATTTCACGGTCTTCACTGACCATAAGCCTTTGTTGGGGCTGTTTACCACACATAAACAAACCCCCCAAATCATCTCCCCCAGAATGCTGAGATGGTCAATCTTTCTGTCAGCCTATGATTTTTCTTTAATTCACAAACCTGGGAAACAAATGGGCCACGCTGGTGGCCTCAGTAGATTACCCCTGCCAGTAGTAGAGGCTGATCCTGCACCAACAATTGACATCCTTTTAATTCAGGCCTTGCCTGAGTCTCCTTTAGATGCCAGGGATGTGGCTGCTGAATCAGCCACAGATCTCACACTCTCTCGTGTCCTGTCTTGGGTTTTATCTGGGTGGCCAGAGAGCTGTCCAGGTGCTGAGTTTCAGAGTTTCTGGCTTAAAAGGAACGAGTTATCCACTTTCCAGGGCTGTCTGCTGTGGGGCAGCAGAGTTGTCATTCCTATTTCAATGAGGACTAGGGTCTTAGGTTCCCTCCACGAGGGTCATCCTGGCATTGTACGTATGAAGGCGCTTGCGCACAGCCATTTGTGGTGGCCTGGGTTAGACAAGGACATTGAAGCTAAGGTGCATGCATGCCACCTTTGTCAACGCTCACGCCCAGAAATGCCCCAGGCTCCTGTGCATAGATGGGAGGAAACACGGTCTCCATGGTCTAGGGTGCACATTGATTATGCTGGGCCCTTTCAGGGTCAATTCTTCTTGGTCTTGGTTGATAGCCATTCAAAATGGCTTGAGGTTGTATCTGTCTCTTCCACCACCATTGCAAAGATTATTCAAGTACTGAGGGAGATTTTTGCTGCACATGGGCTTCCTGATGTTTTAGTGTCTGACAATGGCCCTCAATTCACTTCCTCCGAATTCCAAGCTTTCTTACAGGCCAACATGATCGTCATGCCACCTCTGCACCCTTCCACCCTTCCACCAACGGTATGGCTGAATGCATGGTATGCATCACCAAGGATGCTTTAAAGAGACTGACATATGGAGACTGGCATCACAGGTTGGCTGACTTCCTCCTTTCCTACCGCACTATACCTTCCACTTCTACCGGGAAGAGCCCAGCTGAACTTCGTTGGGGGCGCAAACTGATTACTAAGCTTGACCGTTGCACCTGGACAGACTGCCTTCTAAATTTACACAACCCAGGGCACCTAGGCAACTGCTAGTGGGTGCCCCGGTTTGGACCCGTAATTACGGGCCTAGTCACTTGTGGGTCTCTGCCAGAGTATCCAAGGTCACAGGTCCTTTGTCCTACGAGGTTTCCCTGGATGATGGTTGTGTCCTGCGATGACACATCGACCAGCTACGCACAAGACGGGACTCTCCTACTGAGACTCCTGGATCTTTTCCAGGGGGGGAGGGGGACCTCTATGGGCAAGGAGAAGGGTGTGAGCTGCAGCCTGTAACCAACGGGGAAGTCACAGATAGCCCATCCCAAGATTCCGCGAGTGCTCCAAACAGGAATTCATGGGGACTAACTAGAACACAGGCACCAGTGCCTACTCCAGCCAGGGAGTTACCCCGGGGGCATAATCACTACACACCAGCACCATTCAGTACTCCAGTCAGGGAGAATAACCGGGAGCATCCAAACAACTCACACCCTGCAAGAGAGCTGGCACACATTCCGTCTAGTTGGCCCAATGCTGCCACTGTTCCTAGAAAGGGGCAAGCACATAGGGAGGTGGTCGAGGAACCGAATCCTGATTACAACACCTCTGGCATCACTCAGGGGGCAACTGAGTTTTGGGACAGTACCGAGAACCCAGAGAGCCTGCAACTAGGCAGGACAACCAGGTTAAGTAGAGAACAAAGTCCTGGCCTGACGAGCCCGGTGGGCAAGCAAGCAGGCCAGGCGTTGGAACACAGTCCACAGAGACCACCAGGGTCAAACAAAGGGGACAAACATATAGCTTCTCCCAGGCAAGGGGTACTTGGAGGGTACCAGGAAATTCGGAGGTCACAGAGAGCTAGAAGATCTCCTAAATATCTAGAAGATTTTGTAACTCTGCTAGCAAAGCAGAATTAATAAGAGGGTATTCCTATACAAGTTGGGAATAATGAACACTGGGGAATGGAAGCCAAAATTGATAACTTGGTACATGGAGCTAGTGTGGCTCCCACACTCGTGTTGAGGTCGCGTGTCACTATTTATGTGGTTGTAGTTTTAGCCGGGGGGGAAGGGGTGTTGTATCCTGAGCCTGTGAAGGCAGGCTCGGGACGTTGCAACAGTCCCGGGCAGTTGCAAGCTGCCCGGGACCAGACTGGCTGTCGCCAGCACTCGCGTGCATGCGCGAAGTGCAAGCGCGCCAAATGTTGCCATTTGGCCCGGGGATCGCCTTTAAAAGGAGCAGAGGAACTTGGGCGTTGTCGGCGTTGTAACCAGCATGCTGTATACCAATAAAGAGGCTCCTGAGAACTACCAACTGCTTCATGCATTATTTGCCATTTGCTGAGGACTCAACAATATTGATGTTTTAATTTGGAGAGAGGAATTGCTCAGGCATTTCCCCTAGACTGCATCCGGAGTGAGAAGATAGGAGGAAGGGGAGAAGTAAGTAGGAAGGTTGAGGAGAAGGAGGAGAGGGGGAGAGTGAGGAAGAAGAGGGAAAGAGGGAAGTGAGAGAAGAGGTTAGAGGGTGGATGCGGTTTGGGGGGAAATGGGTGAGCAATACCGAAAGTTGTGTGTATAAATTTATTTTACTCTCTATCTGAAATATTTTTTATGAATGTAATGCAAAATTGAAAATAAAAAATTTTTTTACAAAAAAAAACGTTGTAAAATGAGGCAAAACTTACTTAACAACCGTCTCGGTTAGCAACAGGCTCAACTGTGGTCATAACTCGAGGATTACCTGTATGTGCCTTTGAACCTTTGCTCAATAGCCTTTATGGCTGAGTAATGTTTTTTGGGGGGAACCTGATGCACAGTTTCTTTCAGAGGTTTTATCCGCACTCTTCAATCCTTTTGGAGTTCTTTTATCTCAGTTCATACCTGCTCCCCTACTGCCTCCATCTTCAGCTGCCATTCCCCACTCAGGGCTTCATTCTCAAAGTAGACAATTTTGCCGATGTGGTCATAGCGAGGGGCTCCCACAACCAGACCATTCCTCCCATTGAACTGGACAGGCTGAGAAGAATAGCCTATAGGAGAGACGAGACAGCTAAAATAACTCGTATGATAGTAGTAGAAGAACCTTTAAACTTATAGTCAAGCCTGGGATGCAATTATTTGGAGATAATCCTTGAATTCTGACCACATTTGGGACCGAAATTTGCATTGCTAAGGAAGGCAATTATTAAAATTGAGTCACGCCCAATTTTAAGACCTTTTTTTTTTTGGCTTTTAAGCAAATCACTACAGTTGTTAGGTGAATAATGTGGTCATTAAGCGAATCTGATTTCCCCCATTGATTTTGCTTGTCAGAAACTAGCTGGGAAGGTCTCAAATAGTGATCACGTGATCCTGGGATGAACACAATGATCATAAATGCATGCTGGTTGCCAATTGCCCAAATTTGGATCATGTGACTACGGGGATGCTATGCAATGGTGGGATTCAAATATGCGAACAACCGGTTCTCTGTGTGGATGCCACTTCTGGAAGTCCATTCTGGGCCTGGGCGACAAAAAATTAGCTACCGGTTCTGCCGAAGTGGTGCAAATCAGCTGAATCCCACCACTGATGCTATGACAGCCATAAGGGTGAAGACTTATTTCAGTGCTGTTGCAACTTTGAACGGTCGCTAAACAAATGGTTGTAGGTGAAGAGCTCCCTGTAGTGTCTCTATTCAGGATTGCCTCTTTTTTTGGGGGACATGAAAAGTAAAGTTTGTCAAAATCTAGTTACTGACTATTCATTAAAATTGCAGCTTCTATGTTCTAGATTGGGGTAGGCAACTTTGGCTCTTTTATGATTCGTGGACTTCAACTCCCAGAATTCCTGAGCCGGCCATGCTGAGGGGAAAGGGAGAGGTTTCCAAGCTGAGCCAGGCTGGCTCAGGAATTCTGGGAGTTGAAGTCCACGAGTCATAAAAGAGCCAAGGTTGCCTACCCCTGGTCTAGATGTTTGAGATTGTAGACAAAAAAGAAGAAGACACAAAAAGTCATAATGCATCAAAGAGCTGAGGTTGCAAACCCGAGTAGCTTTTCAGAGTGACATTAAAATTAGAGAGAATTTTAGAGCATCGTCTCGCTAGCAGGATCCCACATTTTGGGGGACCACGGAATGAATTCAGAATTTTGATAGCATGTTATAGATGTCACTCTCTAAAAATAGTTACGATGGGCAGGATTGACTGCCAAACATGTGCCATATTTAAAAGCAAATGGCAGGTCATCCTTGACTTTGCAACCATCCATTTAGCAACTCTTTGAAGTTACAGCAGCACCGAAAAAGTGATTGACAAGCACTCCTTGCATATACGATCAGAGCAGCACCTTCATAGTCATGTGACCAAAAGTCAGACATCTCAAGGATCACATGACTGCCCTCGGTGGCCTTCCCAGCTGGCCTCTGACAACTAAGGTCAGTGGGAGGAAACAGATTCACTTAAGGACCACATAATTCACTTAACAACTGCAGTGATTTGCTTAATATCTGTGGTAACAAAGGGTATTAAAATTGGCATGACTCACTTAACAGCCACCTACCATCAAAAAAAAATTCTGGTCCTAATTGTGGTCGTAAGTGTAGGACTTCCTGTAGTAACTTGCTTTCTAACATTGAACTGAATGGAAAATCGTCAAATCTGATTAGAAGAAGACTATTTTGTATAGTCCAAAATAATAGAGATAAGAATTAGAATTAGAATTATTAGAATTAGAAATATTAGAATTAGAATAATTAGAATAATTGGAAGTGGAAGTGGAAGTAGAAGTAAAAGAAGAATTCTTTATTGGCCAAGTGTGAGTGGATACACAAGGAATTTGTTTCTGGTGCAGAAACTCTCAGTGTACATACAAGCAACAAAGTGATAAATCATGATCATAATCATAAAATACATTCATCATAAATCATAAGATAAAACAGTATAGTCATAGGGTACTAAATAAGCAATCAACATAAATCATACTAGGGTATTAAATAAAAAAAGTAATATAAATCATAAGATACAAGCAAAAGAGTCTAATTATAATAATTTTACAAGAACGCCTTATTGGAAAGAGAGGGGGGGTTGTCAACCAATCAGTTGTCTCTGAGGGAGATGCACAATGATAGAATATGCTGGAGGGTGTGAATTCTGGGGTTTGTTTCTTACCAAGATAGGAATTATTCATATCTTTGAGGGTATTGGATATATTAATAAAATCTGGATCCCGGTTACTGGTTTGATATAGAGTCAATCCTCCAGACCAGTCGTAGGCTCCCACAGCTCCAAGGACAGGGCCTTGCTAAATCACAGCAAAAAGTTAGAATAGAAATACAAGATCAACTGGAAAAAAAAATAAAAATAAAAAGGCTGAGTATGGCCCATTGGCTGGATGTGGCCCATTCGGTGGGTGTGGCCCCATTGGGTGGGCGTGGCTGCGGTGGTAACAGCAGATGGGTGGGACTAAAAAGTTCTATCAATCCATTCCAACTTTGCAAGATCTATTTTTTCTCTGCGAGAAGTTGAAATTGACTGATTGATTGAACCTCTTTTTTTTTTTTGCATACGGCAGAGGCCTAAAGTGAAAAGGTTTTATAAAAACCCGGCTGAAGGCCTAGGACTGGGGCAACGGCGTGCGTGCCCACAGAGAGGGCTCTGAGTGCTGCCTCTGTCACCCGTGCCATAGGTTCCCCACCACTGGTATTAAGGATTCCTGCCTTGGACAGGGAGTTGGACCTTGAAAATCTCCAAGGTCCTTTCTGGTCTTCTGATTCTATGATTCTATTTGTTGTTGTTGTTGTTAGTTGCGAAGTTGTGTCCGACCCATTGAGACCCCATGGACAACGTTCCTCCAGGCTGATTCTGTGCTGGACCCCAAAATACTTACCGGGATCAGCAGGGCACTTAAACCTTCCTGGGACATTTCCATCTGGAAGGAACTGCTACTTTGGAAGTGGGTGCCTATGGGGAGACAGCAATCACAGACAAACGGAACAGAATGTCATCAGTAAGGATATGGAAAAATTGCATGCTCTTGTTTTAGTCAGGAAAACTGACTAAATGGATAATTGAACAAATCAATGCAGAGTTTTCACTCCAGGCACAAACGGCTAGATTCAAACGATCATACTTTGGACATACTATGCAAAGGCTGAGCTTTTTGGAGAAATCCATAGCACCAGGAAAGGCAGAAGGAAAGAGAACAGGATAACCAGAAACAAGGTGGACTTAGTTATATGGTAGCAATGGGAACATTGTTGATCTGAAGGACATGCTGGGGATACATCCTCCTACAGCAGTTTTTTTTTCCAACCTTGGCAATTTGAAGATGGTTGAGCTGCAACTCCCAGAATTTCCCAGCCAGCCATGCTGGCTGAGCAATTCTGGGAGTTGAACTCCCACCCATCTTCAAGTTGCAAGGTTGAACAGCAAAGCTGGCTGAGGAATTCTGGGACTTGAAGTCCACAAGTCTTAAAGTTGCCAACGTTGAGGACCCCTGCTGTAAAGCACCATGGGATGGTATATAACAGGGCTTTTCAACCTTTTCATAGATTGTACCACTTTTAGGACATGACAATATTTGAGTACCACCAGTCGCCTAGCAAGGTGTCAAAAACTTGACTTAAAAAGGGGGAAGGGGGGATTGGGTTTTACTGATGAGATTGATTTGCTGTTATAGAAATGGCTAGTTTATACTATTATGGAAAAGTAAAAAGTTGAGGCTCGGTGTTAATGCTTCATTCTACTGCAACAGGGGAAGTCAAGGAAGTCAGTGCCTTTTCTTTTTTCTTTTTCCTGTCTTCCCCTCTCTTTTCCTTCCCTTTTTCCTCCCCACTGTGTCCCACTATCTGCTTTTGTATTTTATTCTGTAACCTAATAAAATGTTTCAAACCGTTAAAAAAAAAGAGAGAAAAGTACCAGTTTTACTCCTCCTTTTATATCCCCTCCTCTCTCCTCCCTCACCTTTTATATCTTCTCTTCTCTCCCCCCTCCTCTTTTTATATCCTCCTCCTTTTCTCTTCTGGTGCGCTGGAAATACCAATCAGCTGGAGCTGTGTGAGCCAATTCTGGGCTCTCCGCAGAGTCCCGGCAACACCGCAGTTCCGAGACCTCTTTGGCGCTGCTGCCACTTCAGCTCATCCACTTGCACACTTTTTAAACTTTTTTTTTAACAGTGCTTTTCAAGCCATTGTATGTGTACCACCTGCCAGGTGCTGAAGTACCAACAGTGGTATGCCTACCTTGGGGTGAAAAGCCCTGGTATATAAGACTCAGTGCTCTTGCTATTGCTATCTCTGCTTGAGTCCCTCTTTAGGACAGCCCCCAAATCGGAAGCTTGTTCAGACGAGTAATATACCAAGGCGTAAGTAATAGATAAGCTCTATTGCAGTGATGGCAACTTTAAAGACTGAGTGCCCAAAACCCGCCCCCCCACCCCCGGGCCTGCTCCACCCTGCCCACTGGGCCACCCACCACCTCAACAGCCTGCCACAGATCACCCAGGCAGCCCAGCAGTGCCATGGCGGTCACGCCCTCTGCCTGTGCCCCGCAGAATCATCTGTGCGCGAGGGCGGAGTCTTGTCCTGCTGCCCAGCTACCATGTCCTTGGCTGCACTGCTTTGTGTGGGGTGACTCTCCTCAGGGGGGGCTGCTGGTGAGGAGGCAGGGCTGAAGCGACGGTGCATGTGCCCACAGAGAGGGCTCTGAGTGCCATCTCTGACACGCACGCCATAGGTTCGCCACCACTGCTCTATTTATTTATTTATTTATGAGACTTATATACCGCTTTAAGTGCAAGCACTCTCTAAGCGGTGTACACCAGTAAGCAATGTATATATATATATATTTACATTGCCCCCAACAATCTGGGTCCTCATTTTACCTACCTCGGAAGGATGGAGGGCTGAGTCAACCTTGAGCCGGTGAGATTTGAACCGCTGACCTGCTGAACACAGTCAGCTAAAGTGGCCTGCAGTACTGCACCCTAACTGCTGCGCCACCTCGGCTCCTCTATTGCAAGTGGGTCATTCTGTCATTCTCAAAATCACACTTCTTCCTTCAGCTTTGTTTCAGGAAAAACTTTGTATATGAACTGACCTCAGAAGGAATGCCAGGAAACAGCCAAAGAGATGGATCTGGGATTGCATCCTTTTAAAAAAAAAAAACCAAAGTTACCTTCAATGGCAAAGATTTTGTTCTGCAACTGGTCCTGGATGCTTTTCAAAGCATTAAAATTATTGACTTTGAAAACGTGCTCATCGTCCGGCTTAGAAGCTATGTCTTTCAGTTCCTGCTGGACTTTGATTGTTGAAAACGCGTTGCCAACCTTAACGTGGGGGAAGAAGGAAAAAAGGCATTTTGAACACACTTGTTGCATTTAGCAAACTGTCAACATGGCAGAGAAATGATGTGCACCATGTTCATTTTGGTAGTGACTCCAGGATTTGGATAACTCCTAAATCTAATGGACTGTAAATAAACTGTACTCTAAATTGCAAGGAGCTGTGGGTTGAATTTTGAGTAGAAGGTTTGAACCCTAAAGAATGACATCTGGCCAGCTGCATGTGACTCTTCCCAGTAAGGATGATGCTAGTAACATGGTGCCTCTTGGTGGTCTGAAATACAAGACTAATCAAATTTGGTCACTGGGGCTCCTAAGAAGATTCTCACCCCGATGGCATAACGGATGATCCCAGCTTGTTCAGCCTCTGGTATCACCTCCCAATACTCAGCATCGTCTCTTGCCTTGTATCCATCAGTTATCACAATAAGGACCTTTGTAGCCTCAATCCGAGATCCTTTTCCTGCGATAAACAGTTCCCTCCTAGAGAAGAAAAGGGAAAGGAAGAAGGAACAGCAATTTGGCTACTTAATTTTTTCCAAGAGGAAGGAAGGAGAGGAAAAGAAAAGAGAGAGGAGGGGAAGGAGGAGGAGAAGGAGAAGGAGAAGAAGGAGGAGGAGGAGGAGGAGCAGAAGGAGGAGCAGAAGGAGGAGCAGAAGGAGGAGGAAGAGGAAGAAGAAGAAGAAGAAGAAGAAGAAGAAGAAGAAGAAGAAGAAGAAGAAGAAGAAGAAGAAGAAGAAGAAGAAGAAGAAGAAGAAGAAGAAGAAGAAGAGAAGAAGAAGAAGAAGAAGAAGAAGAAGAAGATGGCTGTGGCTGTTTTGGTCCATCCTTGCAGCTGCTTCACTTCCATTACAAGATGTGCAGGGTCCTGACTTTTGAAATTAAAATGTTCCCTGAAGTCCCCTGAAAACTGCATGAGAGCAAACTGTGCAAGACAAGAAGCACAGGGTTATTATGTTGTGTTCTGCCTGCAGGGTGGTATGGAAACATACTGTCTTGGGGCACTGTTCTTTTGACTATGGCAGGGCAACCCAGGTCACAAGCACACTTGGTCATCTCCTCCAAAATCCAAACTTGAATAATAAATTTAGATATAAATGGAAGCATAAGAGGATCCTTTGGAAAAGAACTCTTATGCCTTCTCGATGCTTAAAGGAAATTATATTGACTGGGCCAATTCAGTATTGCAACGCTTGCCGTTCTAAAAGGCCTATCATCTAACGCAGTGGTGGCAAACCTATGGCACAGGTGCCAGAGGCGGCACTCAGAGCCCTCTCTGTGAGTACGCGTGCCATGCCCTGAAGATGGCAACCGTCCCTCTTCAACCAGCTGCTCACTAACTCACCGAGATCCCACATGGCCAGATGCATCCCAGCATGGCTGGTTTCCCTCCCCCCCGTCCCATCCCACCTGGCCTCGCATGCTCTCCTTTTCTTGGGCACGACCCACTGCATCACCTCCTCAGCTATTGGCCGGCTATCCATCTCAGAGGCGGCTTCTCTGACCTGCTGGTGGTAGGCTGCGGAAACCCAGAGTGTGCCGATCAAGGGGCCAGCAGGCTATGGCTGCTGACGGACACTGTCGGCCCCATGCGCTTGCTGGTCTCTGTGGGCGGGGGCCGATGGTGTCAGGGAGCAGCCGTCCCGGCCCCTGCCTTGCCTTATCCTGCGACAATGGCACCCCCGCCCTGCCTCGCCTTGTCTCACCCCGGAGGACGAGCCTTCTGCCCACCGCCCCACCTGCCAGAGACCCCCTGAATTTCCCCATCCCTGCCCGCCCCCACAGGCATCCCTCCCCACGAGCAACATCGAGGTGATCACGCCCTCCTTGGTCACACCCACCCAATCTGCCATGACCACCATAGCCACGCCCACGCAGTGGGCCACACCCACCCAGCACCCAGCGATAAATAAGTGGGTTTTGGGTTCCAGTTTGGGCACTCGGGCTGTAAAAGTTTCACCATCACTGATCTAAGTCTTTAAAAAAGCAAGGTAAAACAACATTTTACAATTACTGTGAGCAAATGTCACCTTAAACCTGACTGAAGCCCTGGCATTTTTATTATAAAGGGAAAGATTTCCCCTGTCCAGTCATCTCTATATCTTAGCCAAGGGAGCCAGAGTTGTTCAAATTCAATTTCCGTGGTCATGTGGCTGGCGTGGCGCACAGAACACTGACGTGCACAGAACACTGTTACCTTCTCACCAAAGTGGTACCTATTTATCTACTCGCATGCTTTTCTAACTGCTAGGTTGACAAGAGCTGGAGCAAGGAACGGGAGCTCACACCATCACACACCACTTAGGTTTCAAATTCCGGGCTGTCAGCTTTCCAGCTGACAAGCTCAGCTTCATTAACCCCTCAGCCATCGTGCCCCCTCTGTATTATAAACGGTATAAATATATCGAATTTTCCTCACTGCTTCCCAGAATAGCCAAAGGCAACCACTACCTGAGCAATAAAGACTTAGAGGGGCTTAGCAGACCCTTGTCACACTTTACAGAATGACAGAGTTGGAAGGGATCTTGGAGGTCTTCTACTCCCACCCCACACTCAGGCAAGAGGTCCTATACCAGGGGTTAGCAACCTTGGCTCTTTTATGACTTGTGGACTTCAACTCCCAGA